TTTATGTATTTCTGGTTTGCACAATATCTGCCCTTTGTTTCTCTGCCCTCTTCTTTCTCTCTCTTTGCCAACTTGGCTACATGCACTGTCTTGCATTTTGTACCTCTCATTTAATTCACCTTTCCTGTACCTCCAATTTTCATTCTCTATTGTTTCTCAATAGTATAAACAATCACCTTCTATATCCCCGTGGATCTTTCTTTTATAGGATAATTAAAAAGGAAAATCACTCTCCCCCCAAGTATTATTTTTTTAATTCTTCACTTGCTTGATTGTCCTGCACCGCCATCTTCCTCCATAATATCAGTGGGAGGCAGCTGTCTCCCAATGGTACACCACTAGGCCCACCCCCTCTTCCTTCCATGATTAGAAGCTACTGCCTCCTGGGATATGTGGCGTGTATATATGAAAAAGGTAAAGAAACAAAAAAGGGGGATTTTCTTCTAATGGGCCTTGGTTGGAGAGGAGGAAAGTGTATTTTCAGTGTAAAGGTCTGCATGCAATGCAGTATTAACCCCCGCCCCCCAAAATGTAAGATATTGCAGCCTGCCAATTCTTAGATGTGGTGGCTGCATTGTTTTCTTTTAGGCCTTTGTTTCCTTTATTTGCACTTCATGATCCTGACAGTCTGTAATTTTTCCACTTCCTTAAACAGACTAAGCTGTCCAGACAAAGTAGCAGTTAGAGGTTTGAGAAAAAAACATTTAACACTGACAGGGGTGCTTAGAATGGTCAGCTTTTATGTATTTATGTAAAACCTTTATTCCAAAAGGAGAAAAAAAACAGCTGAAACTGCCTATAAAGTATTAGCTGGAGTTTGTCTTAAATTTGTTAGTAAAGTCCATATAAATCTGCTAGTCTAACACTACCTTCCCCCCAAACTGATAATGCTGCTGTTCAAAGAGTAGTTTCATTGCCCCCCCAGTACTGGGGATGGGGGTGTTGTAAAGTGTCCGATAGATATGTACTGCTGAACCATACACTTTTTTACGCAGCGCACTCCTGAACTCTGCTTTTGGTACACAGTGCAACAACTTTGCATTCTGTACGCAGCACACTCTATGCCGGGTGTCGGCAACCCGCGGCTCCGGAGCCGCATGCGGCTCTTTTTCACCTTTCCTGCGGCTCCGGAGCACACTGCCCACCAGGTGACAGGCAATAGGGTCGGCAAGCCGCGGCTCTTTTAATGCAGATCTTCTGTGTGCCGGGCGCCCGCTGGCAAACATTGGCTGTCAGGATGTAGGCGGGGCAGCCCGGATGTAGGCGGGGCAGCGTGATGAACTCCTCTCCTCTCACAGTCCGCCCTGAAGACCAGAACGGCGCGGGAACCCAGCGAGAGGAACGCGCGGAGCAAAGGTAAGTGAATTCACACAATATGGGGAATGAATTACTATGGGGGGATGAATTATAGGGGGGTATGACTATAGGGGGATGAATTACTATGGGGGATGAATTACTATAGGGGGGATGAATTACTATAGGGGGGATGAATTACTATATGGGGGATGAATTACTATGGGGGATGAATTACTATATGGGGGATGAATTACTATAGGGGATGAATTACTATATGAGGGATGAATTACTATATGGGGGATGAATTACTATGGGGGATGAATTACTATATGAGGGATGAATTACTATATGGGGGATGAATTACTATAGGGGGGATGAATTACTATGGGGGATGAATTACTATATGGGGGATGAATTACTATATGGGGGATGTATTTTCAGTTTTAAAAATGTTTCTCTCAAAATAAATTTCAATCGTGGTTTTGGCGAGATTTGGCTCAGTCGAAAAAAAAAGGTTGCCCACCACTGACCTAAGGCTATGATTGTGATTATGACGATACACTGTGGCCCTGATTAACCCTTTGCTTACTGGGCCCTTAAACCCCCTTCATGACCAGAGCGTTTTTTGCAATATATGCAGTGTCGGATTTGTTTTAAATGTTGCAATGGTTTTGCGGCTCCCAGTCTTTTTTTCCCTCTCGGAAACGGGTCCAAGTGGCTCTTTATGTCTTAAAGGTTGCAGACCCCTGCTCTATGCACTCCTGAACCATGCACTTTGTACACAGTGCACTCCTGAACTCTGCACTCTGTACAAAGCACACTACTAAACTGCATCCTGGTAGGAAGAAGGCATGCTCCCCTATCCCCAAGAAGGACCATGTACAGTATTTTAGAGGGCTCTGACAGATGAATTGTTAAGTGGGGAGCATGGGAACAGTATCAGTGTGCGGTGGAATAAGCTTTTAAGAGAACCGATAACTAAAATACTAAAAATAAATAATAATGAAAAATAACTATGAATCATCTAGATCTTACCCTCAAAGTTTCACATCCAAGTACTAACCAGGCCATGGGTGGACCCGGATACACGCTACTGAGCATGTGTGTAAGAATGGCAGCCATCTTTGATGTTGGAATTTCATGTTGCTGTACCATGTGATATGCTGTTATTTTTGGACGTTTGTAAGTGCTTAGACTTAATAAATGTCTTTTTAGTGGGTAGTTTGACTCTATATGGGGTGTCTATTTTATCATATGTGCGTCGGTCTGCTGAGCTAATTCCCAGGGGTGCAGCAGTTCCCTGCAAGTTGTGGATATAAATAGTGACAACTGACAGCAATATTCCTGGTGTCTCTGTGGATGATGGGAAGCTGGAGAGCGCATCATTTCCCTGGGGGAATTTCACTACACGCATATGACCACTCTTATATGGAAGGTCGCATTATTTGGTAAGCCTTATGTGTGACCAATGACACCTGGGAGATGTTACAAGTGTTTGATGGTGATGGCCTGAGGAGCTCATCCTATTTTCTCAACACGGCTTGTGGGACTCTTCATTTTGTCTTAGTGTACTTTCCAGTGTATATGCCTCTATATGAAATCCTGGATTTAAGCAGTTTGTTGATTTATGTTTTAGTATATTACCACAATTTATGTAAAGCATTTTGATTTCACATATTGCCGTTAACAATAGACATCAGGGGTAAAGCCTTCGGCCAGGCCACCCTGAATGCACCTGATCTTGGAAGCTAAGCACTGTTGGGCCTGGTTAGTACTTGGATGGGAGACATCAGAGGTAAGATCTTGATAAATCATAGGGTTATTTTTCATTATTACTTATTTTATTATTTTTAGTTTTAAGTATTAGGCATAGTGTCAGCAGCTAATATACTGTATGCATAGATTCACCTGAGCGCAGATATATTACTTCTGTTTTTTAAGAGAACCTGCCATTATCTGTTTGCTCTCAATATTATTATTATTATTATTACATCGAGTTTATATAGCGCCAAAGGGTTTGCTCAGCGCTGTACAATATAGGGGGGACAATACATGGCACAGTACAACAATAACAAACAACGTACGAGGGGTAAGCGAGCCCTACTCTTTCGAGCTTACAATCTAGGAGAACAATAGAACAGTAGTTTATAAGAATTGACTGCATCAGTTGGCAGACTCAGTATATGGAAGACACATTTACTACTAAAGTAGACAAGAAAACACATAGGCATATATAATGTGTATATAGTTTAATACATGTTCTTTATGCATAAAGTCACCAAGGTTATTTTTGCACATTTTGACAGTCAAGTACCGATTCTATATTAGACCGCTTTTATGTTTCTTTTACATGAAAATACACAGCGTTTGTGGCTAATAATTACTTAATAATAAATACATGTCACATTGGAGCAAACAATAATAACAATGGTGCAGCGTAACACATCAAAAATTGTCCATTAATCAGTGCCCCACTGTGTTCCTCTTTCTGAATAACACCTTACATGCAAACTGTGCAGATGGATGCTCACCACCTTAAACTACCTCTCTACTTGAATAAGGTCTACCAGCGCTTTAAGATGTCTCCTGCAGGGGGTCAAATCCTCAATGACCCAAGGCACATAGACGGCTGATGACATGTAACAAAAAGTTCTCTCCTCATAACGGTTGGTGACATATGTAAAGCAAAATTTGCAAGTATGGTGTTATTCAGAGGCTACATGTACACTGGAACACTAAAACGTTAAACACGGCAAGAACACTGAGTAAATGCAGTACCGCATCTAGACGTGTTTTTACCTGCGTTTAGCGCTTGTACATTTATTCATTTAATTGGCCAGAGTACTTGTCATTGAAATGGATAAACACCTAAGCTCTAAACGCGGCTAGCACTTATGCGCATTTACGCATGTTTTTGCCACGTTTTGGTTTTTTTTTTGGCCAAAATGTTCCTCTCCTGGACATGATTCTTCTGCATTCAAGAGAGGGACATTTAACTGCCCCTGAACTCTGCTACTGATAAACTCTGATAAAAGCCTATGTGTGCATGGACACATAGGCTTTTATTGAGTTGAGTTCAGGTGCTTTGGGAAAAAATTGCCAAAAGCTCTTAAACTCACAGGAGGAGCAGTGTGCACGAGGCCTGAGTTGGATTACTGATTAATGGACACATTTATGGACAATTTTTGATGGGTTGCACTGCACCATTGTTATTATTTGTTCTTGAATATGAAGTGAAATCACTTTTAGGTGTTATAGCAAGCGACTATTTTATGATATCATTTTTTATTATCTTTTTCACTTTATTAGTTTATAAGTGTTTTACTTTTATTTATGTTTTTTTTTTTAATCACATGGGAGGTTGCATTCGAACGTGAGGTAAACATCTTGGGTAATTTTACAGGCTTTTTTTAGAGACATTGTATAGGTATTTTGGACATTTTTGCGGTTGTTTTTTCTGCTTGAGAGTGTTTTGATTAATGTTTGCTTTTTGGATACGAGCGTTTTTCAGGCGTTCCCAATGAAGTCTATTAGGGCCAAATCACTTTAAGCCTGTAGCTCAAAAGAAGCTCATGTACGTTTTTCACCTATAAGCATCAAATGACACTACGTTTAGGTGAATAGGTACAAGTGAAAACCACAGAATTTCGGATTATGAACATTTTAGTGATTCAAGCTACAAACACTCAGGTGTGAATGGGGCCTTAGGATTCTTCAATATCTCTGGTTAGATTTACTTTAACCATGTTCGTTGGCTTTAATAAACCACATCCACGAAGTCCAGCTAGAAAAACTTGCGGCTTAGGGACATTGCTTGAATTGTCCCTTTTTGCCTGCGTGCCCACTTGCTTTGGAAGATACACCTGTGTAAAGTTCTCTCTTCTCATGTGGCTACTATGAGTCTGCATTGAGTGTGTCACTTTCTGTCGCAAATTGGTCTGCAAGAAACAAAATGTAAACTGTGAGGTCACAACAGCTTTTAAAGAAATTATACCCAAACTCTAGCCAGAAAAGTTGAAACTGTATCTGCTGCTGTGAATACCCACAATATACTAGAAGATAAGACTAGAAAGTATGGCTTCTCAGCTCTTGGTAGTAGTAGTTCTGCAAGACTGTTTGTGTTATGCTGTATCTTGGCACACACACAGATATTTGGCAATAAAACAATAAAAGTCAGGAAGTACAGTAGTAAAGATGTTGTAATTAAACACATTTCTTTTGTTATTAAGTTTTCTTACTGAACTTGCATGCAACTACTGCTCTGATATACTGGGTTCAGCTGGAATGAAATACACTATATTTCTGAAATTATTGGGACACCCCTTCAAATCATTGAGCTCAGGCGTTCCAATTACCTCCATGGCCACAGGTGTATAAAATCAAGCACCTAGGCACGCAGACTGCTTCTACAAACATTTGTGAAAGAATGGGTCGCTCTCAGGAGCTCAGTGAATTCAAGTGTGGTACCGTGTTAGGTTGCCACCTGTGCAATAAGTCCATCCTTGAATTTTCCTTGCTACTAAATATTCCACAGTCAACCATTAAGGGTATTACAACAAAGTGGAAGCAACTGGGAACAGCAGCTCAGCCACAAAGTGGTAGGCCACGTAAAACGACAGTCTCATTGACAGAAGTCACCAACTGTCTGCAGTATCAATTAGGGTTCCCACCTCATCCCTTTAAAACCAAACACATAATAATAAAAAACAGGTTCCAAGGCTAATTTAATGCAGATAAGACACTAAGTTAATTTAATTACCACCTTAATCAGCCACAGAACCTGTGTAATTATTATGTGTTCAGTTTTACAGGAATGAGGTGGCAACCCTAGAGTCAATAGCTAAAGACCTCCAAACTTGTGGCCTTCAGATTAGCACAACAACAGTGTGTAGAGAGCTTCACGGAATTGTTTTCCATGGCTGAGCAGCTGCATCCAAGCCTTACATCACCAAGTGCAACTGAAAGCGTCGTATGCAGTGGTGTAAAGCATGCTGGATTCTAGAGCAGTGGAGACGTGTTCTTTGGAGTGATGAATCACGCTTCTCTGTCTGGCAATCCAAAGGACATGTTTGGGTTGGGCGGGAGCCAAAAGAATGGTACTTGCCTGACTGCATTGTGTTAAGTGTAATGTTTGGTGGAGGGGGGATTATGGCGTGGGGTTGTTTTTTTTAGGGGTTGAGCTTGGCCCCTTAGTTCCATTGAAGGGTAGTCTTAAGGAGTCAGCATTCCAAGACATTTTGGAGAATTTCATGTTCCCAACTTTGTGGGAATAGTTTGGGGAAGGCCCCTGTAACAGCGTACACACAGAGATGGACGCGGTTCAACCATTTTGGCTTCAACCTCCATCTTGGCAAAGGGGTTAACCATCCTGACAAAAATATTTCCCCCTCATTCTCCCCCTCCCTTTCTGAGAGTCACAGCGACATTTGTCCAGTGTGTATGTGTGTTAGGAGTGTCACAGGAGGCCAGGGCCCAGCAGGGGGCTAGGAGCTATAAAGTCCCCAAGGGAGCTGGGGCCTAGCTGTCCAAAGAACCTGTGCAATGTAACACCTCGTATAAGATAAGGCAAGCTTTCCCAGGAGTTCAAAGAACATTCCCAGGAAACACGATCAGGTAACCACTTTTCAAAATCCATTTTTCCCCTATGTCTCATATCTTGGAATGTGAGAGACTTTCATAAAAACCGGACATATTGTCAGATTTGCCACGAGGAGACGAACAATTTTATGGGTCACTCGCCTTGTCTCGAATACATAGGAAAGCTGAAAAAGTAGATCTCGTGAACCGTTCAGTGTATAATTTCATAATTCATATCTAACCAATCCTCAGAGGTGTCTGCATAATAATCTACCCGCGGGTGGAATGTCACTTGTGCAGATGGAAAGTTATGGACCAAAATATGAGTTAAGGGAGATTTTGGCTCTAGTTTAGGTCCACACCTAGACCTCCACACCCTAAACGGGGTATTGGTCCTTGACTTCAGAGACACCCCCTGCTGGGGAACTACAAAAATGGGCTGTCAGGCCTAAGAGAAAGAAGTTGAAGACGTCTCCCATTTTAACATCAGTACCATCTGGGGAGACCCGTGCCCTTTCGCTCTGAAACTTGGATCTGCTAACCCAGGACTTTGGCAAGTACCTTAACCCTTTCACCTCTCTCTGATATCTCTTTGCTGTGCTGTTGGTGTCTGTATATTTATATATATATATATCTTACAGTGGGAATCGAAAGTTTGGGCACCCCAGCTAAAAATTTGTATTAATGTGCATAAAGAAGCCAAGGAAAGATGGAAAAATCTCCAAAAGGCATCAAATTACAGATTAGACATTCTTATAATATGTCAACAAAAGTTAGATTTTATTTCCATCATTTACACTTTCAAAATAACAGAAAACAAAAAAATGGCGTCTGCAAAAGTTTGGGCACCCTGCAGAATTTATAGCATGCACTGCCCCCTTTGCCAAGCTGAGACCTGCCAGTGTCATGGATTGTTCTCAATCATTGTCTGGGAAGACCAGGTGATGTCAATCTCAAAGGTTTTAAATGCCCAGACTCATCTGACCTTGCCCCAACAATCAGCACCATGGGTTCTTCTAAGTAGTTGTCTAGAAAACTGAAACTGAAAATAGTTGACGCTCACAAAGCTGGAGAAGGCTATAAGAAGATATCAAAGCGTTTTCAGATGTCAATATCCTCTGTTCGGAATGTAATTAAGAAATGGCAGTCATCAGGAACAGTGGAAGTTAAAGCAAGATCTGGAAGACCAAGAAAAATATCAGACAGAACAGCTCGCAGGATTGTGAGAAAAACAATTCAAAACCCACGTTTCACTGCATGATCCCTCCAGAAAGATCTGGCAGACACTGGAGTTGTGGTACACTATTCCACTATAAAGAGATACTTGTACAAATATGGTCTTCATGGAAGAGTCATCAGAAGAAAACCTCTTCTACGTCCTCACCACAAAAATCATCGTTTGAACTTTGCAAATGAACATATAGACAAGCCTGATGCATTTTGGAAACAAGTTCTGTGGACCAATGAGGTTAAAATTGAACTTTTTGGCCGGAATGAGCAAAGGTACGTTTGGAGAAGAAGGGGCACAGAATTTAATGAAAAGAACCTCTGTCCAACTGTTAAGCATGGGGTTGGATCAATCATGCTTTGGGGTTGTGTTGCAGCCAGTGGCACAGGGAACATCTCACGAGTAGAAGGAAAAATGGATTCAATAAAATTTCAGCAAATTTTGGATGGTAACTTGATGCCATCTGTGAAAAAGCTAAAGTTAAAGAGAGGGTGGCTTCTACAAATGGATAATGATCCTAAACACACCTCGAAATCCACGGGGGATTACATCAAGAGGCGTAAACTGAAGGTTTTGCCATGGCCTTCACAATCTCCTGACTTCAACATAATTGAAAATCTATGGATAGACCTTAAAAGAGCAGTGCGTAACAGACAGCCCAGAAATCTCAAAGAACTGGAAGACTTTTGTAAGGAAGAATGGGCAAAGATACCTCAAACAAGAATTGAAAGACTCTTGGCTGGCTACAAAAAGCGTTTACAAGCTGTGATACTTGCCAAAGGGGGCAGTACAAGATATTAACTCTGCAGGGTGCCCAAACTTGCAGACGCCATTTTTTTTGTTTTCTGTTATTTTGAAAGTGTAAATGATGGAAATAAAATCTAACTTTTGTTGACATAAGAATGTCTAATCTGTAATTTGATGCCTTTTGGAGATTTTTTCCATCTTTCCCTGGCTTCTTTATGCACATTAATACAAATTTTTAGCTGGGGTGCCCAAACTTTCGATCCCCACTGTAGTTACATCTTTTTCTGTAAATATTTTTTATTGCACCCGTTTGACCTTTTTTGTACTAAATATTTCCTTGAAGTGTTGAACTGTTTCTACAGCGCTTAATTGCAATTTACGAATTCCTGCCTCTAAAAGAGACGCTACTGTGTTTGTATAACACGGTTCTACAGAGGGCTAAACAGACGATTACCTCAACCATTATAGTGTTATAACTGATATCGCCAAGTTTCCTCTTTCTCTGTACAAAAAGGAGGTGGTGGCAGTGTGAAGGGTTAATTGCATAATTAACCTGACCCAGTAACAATCGCGCAGGCTGCTGGTGCATCGATTGTGGTCCACTTAGCTGGAAAATTGTTGTGCAGGGTGCAGCTGAGTGTGGCATTGTTAGTAACGTGACAGCGCGGTTTTAGATTGGCTAGTCCTTTGGTCACAAGTTTGGTGAGAAGGGCTGGGGTCTGACACCACGTTCGTGACAGCCCCTTCCTGTTCCAACATGACTGCGCACCAGTGCACAAAGCAAGGTCCATAAAGACATTAATGAGCAAGTTTGGGGTGGAGGAACTTGACTGACCTCAACCCGATAGAACACCTTTAGGATGAATTAGAGCGGAGACTGTGAGCCAAGCCTTCTTGTCTGACATCAATGTCTGACCTCACAAATGCGCTTCTGGAAGAATGGTCAAACATTTTCATAGACACACTCCTAAACCTTGCGGGCAGCCTTCCCAGAAGAGTTGAAGTTGTTATAGCTGCAAAAAGTGGGCCAACTCAATATTGAACCCTACAGACTAAAACTGGCACGCCATTAAAGTTCATGTGCATGTAAAGACAGGTGTCCCAATACTTTTGGCAATATAGTATATATCTCAGTGGCTTAAATCCCATACCTTTTCCTTCGTAAACCCCTAACGTCCCTGAGCATTTTGTATGGTTTAGTCTTGGTTTTGTACCTTACATGTTTTATTGCTTGTAGTCTACCCCAACATATCATACTCTTTTTTTTTTTTTCTGCAAAAGATGTGGCTTAAATTTCGTAGCAGATTTGGATCCATATACTGTATTTTTATTTCCTGTTTGTATTAGTAGAAAAAAAAATGCATATTCCATGCAATACAATACCTGCAGTGTCCTCCTTGGGGACCCTGCAACGGACATCCTAGATTGTCCTTCCCTCCTTAGCCTGTACCCTTGGCTTGTCAGGTGTAGCACATTCCTCTGCTATTAGCCAAGAACAATCCTGCTACATCAAGCAACCTTGTCTTGTTCCCCTACTATTTCTTGGAATGATTCATCGGTCTCCCCCAAATAGGAGCCAATATATATAAAAAAAAAATCTTCTGGGACCCCCATTTATTTAAGTTCTTCCTCATCATCAGCTTCTTTGGCACTACCTGAACATACAATCTGTGCTGGATTTTTCATCTCCACATACTATTAGTTTGTGTGTTATTAATGAATCAGTCTTTTCCACTGCTACTCTTTCGCCAGCACATACCTCCGAACTTGTTTGCACTCAACCCTTAAGTATGCCCGAGGCTCCTATCATTATTTCTGACTCCTATTCAGAAGCATCACAGCTTTTCCAGTGGAATTTATTTTTAACTGGGTCATGGAAGATTCTGACATTCTCATTGTTCTGTCTAATCTGGTAGAGAATGGCAAGTAGTGAATAAAACAAACCCTTAAAAAACAATTTTTTTTAAATTACCCACATTTTGCGGGCGAGCAGCAGCTCTTGGCAAAGTGACGAAATCTTGCTTCACTTCCTATTATGGGGTGTGAACGTGCCTGCACCCCCCGCTGCCCCCCCCCCCCCCCCCCGGGTCAGTCCAGGGAGAGAAGAGAGAACACGGCACTGAGTAAAAGCACCACATTTTACACACACACACACGTTAGATTAGCACATTTAACCCTTTGATTGCCTCTATTAACCTTTTGATCGCCCCGTCACCCAGCCAGTGGCACTAGTATAGTGTCAGTATATAGAATTTTTCACTGATCACTGTATTACTGCCACTAACGACATCAGATAGTGTCAGTAAGCGCTCCTCCCAGCCAGGGTCAGCTAGCATTGCCCGCACACTATAGGTCGCTGATCACCCCCATTACTAGTATAGTGTTTGTATGGATCAAGATATTGATCATGAACAGAACTATACTAGTGCCTGCTTAGTATAGTGTCCCCAAAAATGAAGTGTTAGCAAGAACAGCCCCACTCGCTGCTAACACTAGCGTTTAGCCCTTCCGCTCTTTTTCATGGAAGACGTTGCTGTGCTCCCTTCAACCCCCCCACAACCCCCTTCTCTCTCACCTTCGCAACCCGGCTTTCCCCCCTGCCTGGCTCTCTCCGCGTTCTTTCGCACTTTGGTCCTCAGCTAACCTCCTTAGAGCCCATCACTTCTTGACTAACTCTAGTGTCAAATCCTTCCCATCTCTTCGAGAATCCCACTTTCTTCCCGCTTCAGAAATCTTCCATTACCTTCAACTAAAACACTTTTATTCCCTCCTCTCCGCTACTTCATACTCCTTTAGGTCTATGACCTCCTTTGAAAGCGCCTGCAAGAACGATTCGCACAGACGTGGCCTTCTCTATCTTCTACGCCCTACTTTTGACATCTGAGTCCTCCCCTGGCCCCTCATATGTCTCCAAGTGGGAGAGGGATCTAGGCCCCCAGCTGAGCCCAGAGTATTGGGATCGCATATGGCAAGCAACTAAATCCTCCTCACAGAATGTAGTAGCAGTTGAGACGAATTACAAGGTCCTCACCCATGGGTATTTGGTTCCGGCTAGGGTCGCTAAATATACTCCGGGGTATTCTCCAGACTGTTTTCGAGGCTGTGCGATGAGGGGCACATACCTTCACACTTGGTGGTCCTGCCCAGTAGCCCACACCTTCTGGGTTGGTATCTTCCACATGCTATCTGCCCTTCTCAAAAAACCGCTAGCGCCAACTCCGGACATCGCCTTACTCAATTTACGACCCCCCTTGATTTCTTGCAAGTCCAACCTCCGCCAAGCAAATTATAGCAAAATCCGGGAAAACCCTTCTCTTAGCATATTGGCGGTTCGGAATAAGGGGACACAGGCTATGATACACGCCAAAGTGGAAGCTACTATCACAGACACAGTCCCCAAATTTTTGTCAATCTGGTCTCCCTGGGTCGATCACTTCCTCCCTCAAGGTTTTGATGAATTGCTGCTTCTTCCCTAATACCTTCCCCCTTGGAAGATGCTCCGGAGCACTGGTCCGGCCCCGCATCCTCTTCCCTGCCATGGAAGTCACACACCTTACCTACCTCCTTCTCCCCTTCCCCCTTTTTTTTCCTCTCTCTCCTCTTTCTTCCTCCCCCCCTTTCTTTACTTTGGTTGCTCTATTAACTTTGCAATAATCATATTGGTGCTATAAGGCCTTGGGCCATATGTTTTCATCTGCTACATATACTGTAAATGAATGTTGCTTCCTGCTGTATGTTTTATACTCTTATAACCCAATAAAATGTTTGAACAAGAAAATTCCCCTGATAGAGTCTTTCTTACTGGCCACAGGGTGTCCAGAGATGACGCACCTCCAGCAAATGAACAGTTAAGTTCAAGCAACCTGACCCTAGGCTCTACCTTCAACATCTGATAGATAATGAGAGTGTACCCCTCACTGCACATGTGCAGCAGGAAGTGTTAATTTTAAAACACTTTGGCTAGTACAAAAGCAAAGGAGTCTTTTGGCAGAAGAGCCAAACCAAATATTTTCTACCAAAATATCGGTACTCCTAAGATTTTCTGTTCAATTCCCCTTTAATAATCAATACAAACCAGTTTAATTGCTTTCCTGCGCAGCTCCCATTCATTCCACTCATATGATTTGACAATGTTGCTCTCCATGAAGTGTGTATCAGTCTGGGTGCCACTGTTACATTTGGTGATTGGTTTCATGAAGAGTTTTTCAGTAGCTTGAGCCTGGGGTAAAATAAGTAATACCATTAGAAAGCATGCATTAGTGGCTAATTGACAACACACTTTTTTGACTTGTACATGCACTAATAAAATTATCAATAAACACATTAAAAATCACGCAAGACTCCCTAAACCAGATATTTTCTGAACAATTAAAGGAAATTAGGATTTTGTGCTTTCTACTAAACCAATTTTAAATAAAAAATACAAAATTCTTATTAAATGTAAAGGATGAAATTATTTCAGAACTACATCTAAATCTGAAATAATGCAAGCTTGAAAAAAAATGTGAAAATATAACATAAGGATGTGCAAAACTGTATACAAGTGTCAGACACTAAAATATAATGTAAAGCTTACTTATTTAGTGTTAGGTGTATTTAAATACAAGCCTAGGGTTACAATGGTGCTCCTTTAGGGTAAGTGTTGTCACCCTAGGAGAGGAAGTGTGTTACTGGCAGGAAATGGCAGGATGACCAGGTGAAAATAAAGGGCAAAAGAGTATGAAAGAAAACAAATGCACCCACTATATCTAAGGACTTTGAAGTGACAGTATAGTATATATTTTTTTAATTTTTGTTGTTTGTTTTAACCAGTAGTGGACTGCCTGCCACAGTTTTACTGCGACATAACGGCCCCGCTGTGCTAAATGTAAGTAGTCCACATTTCCAGGTAGGGGGCGCGTACGTGCATTACCCAATCTATGCTGTCATTTGCTACAGCACACATAGGTCAGCAGGTCCTGGCCTATGATTTATGGCCAGAACCTGTTGATTGGCCTAGCGAATGACAGTACAGAGCCTGTGTTTACTGAGAACATAGGGCTCTGTACACAGGAGCAGCAAGTGTGTTTATTTATCTCCCTAAAACAAACACATCTAGTAATAACAGCAGCACACATTACACATTATTAGGCACACAGGTAACTCTTTGTTTTCCCCTAAATGCCCCTTCCTAGCCAGTGTCATTAGTACAGTGGCAGTGTATAGTATTAGTACTGATCACTGTATCAGTGTCACTGGGGATGTCAGTGGCAGTTAGTCAGTTCCCACTAAGTGTCAGTTAGTGTCAGACTGCCCGCTGCACAGTTCCACTTTAAGTCACTGATCACCACCATTACTAGTATAAAATAATAATTGTAGTCGCTATAACTTTCACACAACCCAATCAATATACACTTATTGGGATTGAAGACATGTAGCAGAATACATTTTGGCCTAAATTTATGAAGAAATGTGATTATTTGACTTTTTTTTATTAGATATGCTATATAGCAGAAAGTAAAAAATATTGTTTTATTTTTCTAAATTTCTAAATTTTTATTTTTCAGTCTTTTTTTGTTTATATAATAAAAAAAATTACAAACTCAGTGGTGACCAAATGCCACCAAAAGAAAGCTCTATTTGTGTGAAAAAAAAATTATTTAAATTCCATTTGAGTACAGTGTTTCATGACCACGCAATTGCCAGGTTAAGTAGCGAAGTGTCGAATAGTAAAAAATGCCCTGGTCTTGAAGGGGCTAAAATTTTCCAGAGCCTAGGTGGTTAAATACACAACCTAAAATTAAAGATCCTAAAAGAAAATGGTGCTGCTAGAGTGGCCTGCAGGGCAATCCACGTTGCTTCTCCAGCCATGTCTTGTTGGACTGACACTTACACAGTGTGACTTGAGTTGGCAAAAACTGTGAGCTACTTACTCCAGACCTAACCTTACCCATGAACTCTGTGCATTACTAAATCCTGACCAGTGAACCATCTGCATTACTTGCACCCTGAATTCTGTGCACTACCTAATCCTGACCCCTGATCTCTGTGCTTTACTTAAAGCAGAACTTCACTCTTTTGTTAACTGTTCTTAACCTTTTATGCTGCTTGCCTTAGTAAATAGATAAGAAGGTATATTATATTTTACTTGTTTTAAAGTTTTTTTTTTTCATTTCTTCAGTTGCTTCATGGTTTGGACTATGCCAAAATGATGTCGCACATCCCAGTCTTTCTGGGCATTTTTTATTCTTTCATCTGCAGGAGAGGAGAGGTTTTCTCAGCTAAACACAATCTCCTGCCTGGCCTAAGAGCAGGTGGATTCCAGAAAGTAAATGCTACATGAATCATCTTTCGCCCTTACTCAAGATGGCCATGACTAAAAATGATAGGGGGTGTTTTTCAAAGTGATTTCTCAACAAAATAAAGAATGGAGACATGGATCTATGGGTTAAATTGCTTTGAATCTTAAAAACAATTTAAATATTGTTTTCAGTTTGCGGTGCTTCTGGTTTAATTCTGACCCCTGACTCTGCGTTATTTAATCCTGACCCCTGCAATCTGGACATTACTTACTTTACCGAGTCCTGAACTCTGAATGTTACTTAATCCTGACCCCGTAAATCTGTGGATTACTTATTCCTAACATTTAAATTATGTGCATTACCATATCCTGACCCCTGCACTCTGTGCATTACTTACTCCTGACCCCTGCACACTATGCTTTACACTTTTGACCCATAGCAGTATAGGCTCAGGTTTTATTTAACCATACTCTTTAAGCCACTGTAACAGGAATTTGGCCATATCTATAATTTTCTGTAGTGGGTGTATCAAAAATGGGGTGTGATTTTGTAGGTGTGGCTACAAATGAGGGTGTGCTTTTGAGTGTGTGGTTAGGATGTCCCTGAACTTCATTTTAAAAAATCTGGTAACTTTAATATAAATAGAGATACTTCATTATAACCTGCACCAATTTGGCTTATGCAGGAACCTGAATGTTCAGCCTACAGTTGCAAGAAAAAGTATGTGAACCCCTTGGGATTACGTGGAGTTTTGCATGAATTGGGCATAAAATGTGCTCTGAACGTCATCTAAATCACAACAATAGAAGAACACAGTCTGCTGAACATAATACTACACAAACATTAGATGTTGCCATGGTTTAATTGCACATAACATGTAAACATTCACAGTGCAGGGAGGAAAAAGTATGTGAAGCTTTGGACTTAATAACTGGTTGACCCTCCTTTGGCAGCAATAACCTCAACCAAACGTTTCCTGTAGTTGCAGATCAGACCTGCACAATGATCTGGAGTCATTTTGGACCACTCCTCTTCACAAAACTGTTTCAGTGTAGCAATATTCTTGGGATGTCTGGTGTGAATCGCTCTCTTAAGGTCATGCCACAGCATTTCACTCGGGTTGAGGTCAGGACTCTGACTGGGCCACTCCAGAAGGCGTATTCTGTGCTGTTGCAGCCATTGTTTTGTTGAATTACTTGTATGCTTTGGGTCATTGTCCTGTTTCATCACCCATCCTCTGCGGAGCTTCAGTTGGCGGACAGATGGTCGTTCCTTTTTTCTGCAAAATGTCTTGATAAACTCTGGAATTCATTTTCCCATCAATGACAACAATCCGTCCAGGCCCTGAGGCAGCAAAGCAGCCCCAAACCATGATGCTCCCTCTGCCATGTTTCACAGTGGGGATGAGGTTTTGATGTTGGTGTGCTGTGCTTTTTTTTCTCCACACATAGTGTTGTGTGTACCTCCCAAACAACTCAATCTTGGTTTCATCTGTCCACAGTATATTTTGCCAGTAGTGCTGTGGAACATCCAGATGCTCTTTTGCAAACTTCAAACGTGCTGCAATATTCTTTTTGGACAGCAATGGCTTCCTCCGTGGTGTCCTCCCATGTACTCCATTCTTGTTTAATGTTTTCCTTATTGTAGATGTGTCAACAAAAATGTTAGCATGTGCCAGAGATTTCTGTAGGTCTTTAGCTGGCACTCTGGGATTCTTCTTTACCTCATGCAGCATTCTGCGCTGTGCTCTTTCAGTCATTTTTACAGGACGACCACGCCTAGGGAGAGTAGCAACAGTGCTAAACTTTCTCCATTTGTAGACAGTCTGTCTTACCGTGGACACATGAACACCAAGGCTTTTGGAGATACTTTTGTAACCCTTTCCAGCTTCATGCAAGTCAACAATTCTCGATCGTAGGTCTTCTGAGAGCTCTTTTCTGCGAGGCATGGTTCACATCAGACGGTGCTTCTTGAAACCAGTAAACCCAAAACAGGTGTGTGTTTTTTTAAGGGCAGGACAGCTGTCAGCAACACATCCAATATCATCACACTGATTGGAGTCAAGGTTGGCTCACTCCTGGCTCCAATTAGCTCTGGGAGAAGTCATTAAGTTAGGGCCTCACATACTTTTTCCTCCCTGCATTGTGAATGTTTACATGTTATGTGCAATTAAACCATGGCAACATCTAATGTTTGTGTAGTATTATGTTCAGCAGACTGTGTTCTTCTATTGTTGTGACTTAGATGACGTTCAGAGCACATTTTATGCCCAATTCATGCAAAACTCCACATAATCCCAAGGGGTTCACATACTTTTTCTTGCAACTGTATATCATAACTGTGCAGGCTTACCTATGATAGATTTATATTTGCTACTTATTTACAATGTAGCATTACTTGCTTTGTTTGAGCCTGACATTTTAACATTAGTGTAAGGATAGTTGCTGCCTGTCAGATCCCTAACCTCATACATTGCACACTCAGAAGATGCAATGTGTTGAAGTCCTACAGTTGACAGGCTAGTAACTGTCAGAGTTCACCCTTAGCATCTACCATAAATGTATATCGACAGTTTCCTTTTTATGACTGTAGGTCTGTGGCCAGCGACCTACCTATTGAGATCTGTTGGTGAGATCTGCGGTCCACTGGGGATTTCTGCAGAAAGACACAGGTACAAAAGCAAATGCAGTGTGCAGGTTCCACCTACTGGAGAGGCCTCAGCACTACAGGCTTCATTAAAAAAAAGGTTGCTGTCATTCAGGGAAAGGGGGGGGGGGGGTTGGTAACAGCAGTAGCATCAGACACTACCTTTCATTTTCCATTGCCACAAGGGGCCTCTCTTTTTTTTCTATAGAAAACAGTCTGTTTGCAGAGTTTGTGCTTGTATATTTATTTTTGCACTGACAATACTGACTCTTTCCTGTTATATGGTTTGACTGCCTGCCTAACACCACTGGCTGTCAAGGATGCACCACATAGATCCAGGTCATACCCCCTCTTATGTAGGCGATGGGAATGGAAGAGCTAAATTAGGTCAAATCCATGAGGTTTTTTTTGTTTTTTTTAACCAAGCTCAAAGACTTATTTTTTAGTTCTAAAGCCCAGTTGAATCCACTTTATTACTGTAATGAAGTCAGGCTACATGTACATTTCTGGGTTAGGTATCTTCAGTCATCTTGACTGGCCAAGCCCCAAGGCATGAGAGTCTAACCAGTCACAGGATTTTGTCCCATATTCACAGATCATGTTACAGGCAGTGTAATAAGTGAAATATTTTTTTCTCATTGAGGAGAGGGCCATCGGGAAGTGTCCCTGTCAGATAATTTGGCCTATTTACCATTGTCATTGAAAGTAAATACAATCCCACATTTTGGGTTGTCCCCAGAAAAGTAATAGAGGGGAAAACGTCTAATGGGGATACTAGTTCTGGGGACCTAGGGGTCCCCAAGGAATTCCCTTAATTTTCAAGGATTTCCACTGATGTCCTGTTTGGCTATGACACAGGAAATGAAGGGAAGTCTCCAAAATAGGACACAGATGGCAAAAAAAAAGTTGACAGGGGTTATAACCCTCCCTTGCTCTACCAAAACTAAAAAAAAATGTTTATAGTTCTTCTTTCAACTTTAATTATGTCTTCTGCATACCAAATTTTACATACTAACTTGTGGTCATCTCATGACTTCCAGATATTATTCACTAACTGCCTTGCCTGATAAAGGCGTCACATCCAAATTTAACTTACTGACGGATCACTGATTCACATCTTCTGCTTGTTTAAAGTACTGGCTGATAACTGATTTAAAGGGTGTACATTTGCAGGTTCATTTTTTTTCTTAGCTTCTCCTCTGTTTACTGTTATTAATTACAAATGGTTTGGTACCTACAAACATATAATTTAAAAGATTTGGTATTCCTAGGCCCCTTTCACATGGGCGGAGTCCTCCTGCGGATCCACCTGCTCAGCAGAGGATCTGCCTGCTGATCCCCGCTGAGCAGGCAGATGACAGGTCCATGGCCGCTCCGCTTATGCAGAGCAGACAAAGACGCAGTCCATTGTCCTCTATGGGCGGTCAGGTGTAAACAGACTGCCTGTTTGTTTACATGCGACTGTCATCCAATCTGATCCACTAGACGAAAGGGGAAGGATCCCAGGATGGGGATTCGTTCCCCATCCATCTGTTTTAGAGGACTGGATGCAGGCGGGTGCAAACAAACACATTAACATCCACCACTCCAGAGAGGGCAATGGATGGTAATCTCTACTTTTAAACATTTTTATTACATTTTAATTTTTTTTTACATTTTAATTTATTAAATACCTTCTTCAGCTCTGTGTATACAAAGGAGCATGGGGGAGCTCTTGTCCATAATGGGCATGGTATTGACACAGCTCCAGATGATCCACATTGGCTCACAATTGATATGATCCAAAAATATTTCGACAGAATAAAGGTGAATAAAGCACCTGGACCGGATGGCATTCACCCACGGGTCCTTAAAGAATTGAGCTCTGTCATTTCAAAGCCATTGTTTCTAATTTTTAGGTACTCTTTAATGACTGGCATAGTACCACTGGATTGGCATAAGGCCAATGTGGTGCCAATATTTAAAAAGGGATCAATATCTTTACCAAGTAATTATAGACCTGTTAGTTTAACTTCTATAGTTAGGAAGATACTAGAGAGTTTAATAAAAGACCACAGAGATGAGGTCTTGCTGGAAAAAAATATTTTAGGCAACAGACAGCATGGATTCATGAAAGACAGAAGTTGTCAAACAAATCTGATTTCCTTTTTATGAGGTGAGCAAAACCTTGGACAGAGGGGTGGCTGTGGACGTGGTATATTTGGATTTTGCAAAAGCGTTTGATACAGTTCCCTACACACAGCTAATGTGTAAGGTAAAGTCTACAGGCTTGGAAAAACCCATATGTAAATGGATGGAAAACTGGCTAAAGATTCAGAGAGTAGTGGTTAATGATTCATACTCTGAATGGTCTAGGGTCGTCAGTGGCGTACCCCAAGGTTCAGTGTTGGGACACTTACTTTTTAATATATTTATAAACGAAATAGGGTCTCGGATTAAGAATCCCATTTCAGTCTTTGCAGATGACACCAAGCTGTGCAATGGTACAAGCTGACCTGAATGCACTGTTTAATTGGGCAACTATGTGGCAAATGAGATTTAATGTAGATAAGGTTATGCACTTGGGGGCTAAGACATCATACATACAGGGGGAGTACAACTGGGGGAATCAATGGTAGAGAAGGATCTGGGAGTTCTGGTAGATCACAAGCTTAATAATGGCATGCAATGCCAAGATGCAGTTTCTAAAGCGAGCAAAATCCTCTCTTGTATCAAAAAAGGTATAGACTCCAGAGAGAGAGATATCATATTACCCCTGTACAAATCATTATTAATAACTCATCTAGAATATGCAGTTCAGTTTTGGGCACCAATTCACAAAAAGAACATTGGGGAACTGGAGAAAGTACAGAGAAGGACAACCAAACTGATAAGAGGCATGGAGGAGCTCAGCTCTGAGGAAAGATTAGAGGAACTGAATTTATTCTCTCTTGAGAAGGAGATTAAGGGGGGGATCCGATCAACATGTACAAATACATCAGTGGTTCATATAATGAACTCTGTGTAGAGTTATTCACCCTGAGGTCATCACAGAGGACAAGGGGGGCACTCTTTACATCTGGAGGAAAAGAAATTTAATCTCCAAACACGGAACGGTTTCTTCACAGTAAGAGCTGTAAAAATGTGGAATAGACTCCTTCAAGAGTTGGTTCTGGCTAGCTCAGTGGACTGGTTTAAAAAAGGCCTGGATTCTTTCTTGGATTAACAGAATATAACTGGATATAACATTTATAGGTAAAGTTAAACCAGGGAATATCCGATTGCCTCTCAGGCGATCAGGAAGGAAGTTTTTTCCCTTGCAGGAGCAAATTGGATCATGCTTTGCTGGGGGTTTTTTTTTGCCTTCCTCTGGATCAACTGTGGGTGTAGGATTATAATTTTTTTTTTTTTTTTTTTAATGGTAAAACTGGATGGACTTTTGTCTTTTTTCAGCCAGACTATGTAACGTTTGTTTGCACTTTACAACTTTAACAAATGGACATATAAAACCAATCTACATGGGTTACCTTTAGTACGTTTTTCTTTTTTTGCTCTCTGTAGGTTCCAGGGATGGATTTGATGACCACAAGTCCTTTAATGTCCAGGGAGGTGAACTTTAATCACAATTAATTCACACGGTCACATATGACAAAGTCAAGCCTAGACAGATATCTGTCAACTCTCATTTTTCTCCCAAGCTGAGTTAAGAGTCTTCTAATCCTATCTGCGCCCTGCTCTTGTCAGAAAAATAGCTCAATCCTCAGCATTGTTGAGTTTATTCGTCAAAGAAAGGATCCAGACAGGTACAACTATGAACATATCTTAGTAATGCCTTTACATGCACATGAATTTTAATGGCATCCCAGTCTTAGTCTGTAGGGTTCAATATTGAGTTGGCCCACTCTTTGCAGCTATAGCAGCTTCAATTCTTCTGGGAAGGCTGTCCACAAGGTTTAGGAGTGTGTCTATGTGATAGTTTGACCATTCTTCCAGAAGCGCATTTGTGAGGTGAGGCATTGATGCCAAATGCCTGGCTCACAGTCTCCGCTCTAATTCATCCCAAAGGTGTTCTATTGGGTTGAGGTCTGGACTCTGTACAGGCCAGTCAAGTTCCTCCACCCCATAGTCGCTCATCCATGTCTTTATGGACCTTGCTTTGTGCACTGGTGTGCAGTCATGTTGGAACAGGAAGGGGACATCCCTGAACTGTTCCCACAAAAGTTGGGAGCATGAAATTGTCCAAAATGTCTTGGTATGCTGACACCTTAAGAGTTCCCTTCACTGGAACAATGGGGCCAAGCCCAACCCCTTGAAAACAACCCCACACCACACACTGCATCCGAGGCTTTGCATTGCACTTGGTGATGTAAGTCTTGGATGCAGCTGCTCGGCCATGGAAACCTATTCCATGAAGCTCTCTACGCACTGTTGTTGTGTTATCTGAAGGCTACATTTAGCTATTGACTCTGCAAACAGTTGGCGACTTCTGCGCATTATGCACTTCAGCACGCACTGACCCCGCTCTGTCATTTTACGTGGCCTATCACTTCGTGGCTGAGTTGCTGTTGTTCCCAGTTGCTTTCACTTTGTTATAATACCACTAACAGTTGACCATGGAATATTTAGTAGCAATGAAAGTTCACAGATAGACTTGTTGCACAGGTGGCAACCTATCATGGCACCACGCTTGAAATCACTAAGCTCCTGAAAGCGACACATTCTTTCTCAACTGTTTGTAGAAGCAGTCTCCATGCCTAGGTACTTGATTCTATATACCTGTTCCTAGATTGTAAGCTCCAAGGAGCAGGGCCCTCCTATCCCTCTTGTATTAAACTGTATTGTTGCTGTATTGTCTCCCGTTATATTGTAAATCGCTGAGCAAACTGTTGGAGCTATATAAATCCTGTATAATAATAATAATACCTGTGGCCATGGAGGTGATTGGAACACCTGAATCCAATGATTTGGAGGGGGGGTCCCAATACTTTTGGCAATATAGTGTGTGTGTATATAGACAGATAGATATACATGTATATAAAATGATTTAATGTTGATCCAATATGAGTAATGAGGTTTACTGGTGTAGTTGCTCATACCACATATGGCTCCGATATCAGAAAATGTGTCAAACTTGCTAGCATAATACATGAAAATATGTAACAACCTTGAGTATCTGTTTAAACCTGTGCTATATACAATTTGTATTAACTGTGCTGATGGTAGTAAAAGATCTTATTCTGTGTTATACATTTCTTTACCTGGGAATAAGGTGTGATGGATGCAAACTGCTGGTGCAGTTCCAATAACTGTATGAGCTCTGCACACTGTTTTGCATTTTCTCCAATTAAACTGATATAGTGATCTGGATCTTGAGCAAACATGGAAGCACCTTCCTTGGAGCTGAAAATATAATACCTTTCTCTGTGCTTCAGAATGCCAATGTTTGGGTTTCCTGTTAAAAAGTATACACATATATATATATGAGGAATGGAAAGGCAAATATACATTGATTGTAAAATTCAAATCAACTACACATAAACACATTTATGTAAGTAGATGAATAATACAATATACAACACTGCTTTTTAAATGGCTGTTTATTAAACTGTATGTTATAATGAAAAATAATATTGATATTGTAAAAGATATGACATTTTCCATAAACGGCAAAACATAACACTTACTTTGAACCTTTTTCCTGCAAAGGTTAGATTAAATGAAGAAGCTAGATTACATTATTGCCATATGCTGCATTTACTACTCTAAACAGGAGGTGTCTATTCACTGAGTACTGTATGTGTGGAGGCAACTATGCTGTATAAAGATCATTCATTCTCCACAACATGGAGGCGTTCTGTACATAGTTGGCATACAGAACTTCCCCAGACATGTGATTGGCTCACCAGTTTTCCCCACAAATCTGCACTTCGATACAAGTCAGATTTAGGCAACCTCTGCAACAAAAAAATAATTTTGGTGTTATACTCCCAAAAGGTTTACTTCTAAAAGGATGTAGACTCTGCAACTTTCCTCATCAGAACTCTGCAAGTGCAGCAGCTGATTTAAGAATGAAAAAGTCACTTCCATTCAGATTTATTCTGCATACAGTAAACCGCATTTCTTCAGAGCAGAAACAGGTAGATCACCCAAAGGAGAATGTTTGTTTTTATTGTGCTGTTTGCCTCAATGACTTGTATACAAATATTGTACAAAAAATTGTGAAAGTAAAATATTATAAAAAGAAAAAGGTAATGAATTCCTAAGGCTTGAAAAAATATGTAGGTCTTTAGGCTGTGTTACCTAGTGATGGGGCTTTCTGTACATAAATGGTGAGCTTTGCCTTACAGAGCATATTACCCCTACGGAGTTCAGTTTGTCACCAGTCATGCGTGGATGATCCAGCTGACTGAGTGAACTTTCATATGAATGTTTATAATTCAAGCATACACATTCCCATCAGGTACGTGGTTGTACATATGATGTCAGGAAAGGAAGCACCCTTGCATGTCCTAGTGATAGGCCAAGGCAATCTAATCTGGCCAGTCAACACTCCTCTTGAGAAGGCTCAGGCTAGGCATATCTGTCAAAGCTGGGGGAACTGATCAATAATTGTACACCTAAAAGAGTTTTCTCCATTAAATGCATTATTTATTCATCGTGTACATTGTGAATCCATAAGTACTACATGTCCAGTTTTATCACATTAAAACAGACCACACCTGGCAACAAGAGGCCATCTTTCGTAGCAACAGTATAGCCACAAAATCCATGGTATTGAATTGGGAGCCGTTCATAATTAGCTGTGTTTTCAGGGAAATACCACTCCTGTGTTGAAAAATTTGATGGATTTATATGAATACCTAAGTAAAGAGATAAAACGTGTCGTTAATAACCAAAATATATAAAATAGCATTGTTATATACAATGGTCATCAAACCTACCAAAAGATTTTGTTTACAAACTGTTTGCGATACATGAGATTTTGAAAATATATATTATTCCTCTCGATATATCCATTAATAAGTGTACTTATTTTTTAAGTTAATTTTAAATATAAAAAGTATAAAACAAATAACAGACCTCCATTTGTTATAAGTATCCCATTAACACTAGTTATACTGCAAAAAATGGATTCATTGCATTGCAAGATGTGTTTGTTCTGTAGTATAAGCAAAAACATATAATTTTATATATATTATGAAAAAGCATTACATTTACTCAAAATAAAAATAAGAAAAAAAATAATTGTTGCAGAGTGCATATCAAATATTACAATTACACAGAAATGTTAGATTGCAATATACAGTCATGTGAAAATGTAGGTACAACCCATTGAAATTATTGTCTTTATCAAAATATTTGAATAGGCAAACATTAGATCTTCACACAGTGCCTACAGATAAAGGCAATAGACCTGAAAAAAACACAAGAAAAAATTGCCTACAGTATCTGCAGATCCCACAATGGACCTTTTTGAGGTTTCTAGATAATTATTTTAGCATTAAAGGATCAGCTCTTTGGCTTACTTTGCTAGGCTGGCTAGTCCTGGACAAATTAGCAGTTGTTTAAAAATCCATGCCCCTTATAGATTATTTTTCTTACAGTGGAATGATTGATTATAAAATAATTTTGTGATTATTTTAAAGCCCGTGCTAGAATCCTAGGCATCTGGAACCTGCTTTCTGAAGGCCTTCAGCGCTTAATAGCAAAGAGAACACGAGACCTGAGATATGTGATGTTTAAATAAGACAGGTCCCACCTGCATACTCCCTTTAGAAGTTCTAATCACTGTCATTGACTATCTGAATAAAGGTCCAATGCTTTCCTGTTCAAACATGTTAACAAAGTAAACAATTTCTGTGGGGGGGGGGGTACTTTTTCACATGACTACATACTTAACATGCATACATACGTTATCAGATCTAAAAAAGATGCACTGTCCCACCTCACCTTATGAGGCACATTTATCCATTCACTGTACAGTATAAACCAGAAATGATGAGGGCTCTGCTTATACCACCTGTCCTTCCCAAGACCATCAGATGGTTTAAAGTATATGTAAACCCTCACCTTGTAAAACAACCCATTTAGTTTAAAATATACATGAGAGACAAACCATTAGTGTGTGTGTGTGTGTATATATATATATATATATATATATATTATATATATAATTACCATTTTTAATTTTTTTATAAGTGATCACATAAGAGCTGTGGGGCTGTGGGAGGAGAAGCAGTAGCAAACTAATTTTCCCAGTGAATGGCCGTGTGTGTGTGTGTGTGTGTGTGGGGGGGGGGGGGGGGGGGGGGGGGGGGGGGGGGGGGGGGGGGGGCGTGTCAGCACAAGCCTGATCATTGGATTAGCTCCCAGCACAGCTAGAAAACCGACCACACTGTGCTTTCCAGCCTAGTGTTGTCATTTTTTAATAGGAAAGCAGAAAACTGGCAGAAAAAAACAGGAATTTCAGAAAACAGGATAGTTTTTTTCATACAAGTACACTGTACAGCAGGCACATGTCAGGAATATGAAATGCTGAGTTTACATATTCTTTAATGAACCCAGGCTGCCACAGTGCAGAAAGTACCCAATCACCTTAAATTGCAAATTCTTCTAGAAAATCTTCTTCCCTTTCACTGACCTAACAAGCTGTATACTTAGGAACCATTCAGCCTTGGATAGTGCCAGGCCAGATTCTACAGCGATCCTTTCAGGCAGAAGCATGGGGAACACAATTTGTTTCTGAGTGCATAGCATACCAGGTTAGTACAAATCTGACAGGTTCTCTTTAAATTGCTGACATAAATTTGCATGCATTTTTTTACCTATTCATTTTTTTAGAATGCCAGTGAGTTTAGCTTATCAAACCTGAAGCAAGAAAAAATAAACCTGTTACCATCAGCAATTAATCCAAGTCCATGTTATGTTATCCAGGTGAATTTTAGAAAAGATTAAATCTGACTCATTTCTCACCTTCATTTTCTTTATTCCTTTCTTCATCAGTTTTTATTGTTAAATCACTTAGTAATGGCTGGAGGATGTGATCAGGAAAGAGCTCTTCATGGAGTCCTAGAAAGGGCTGCAGGTTTGTAGTCATATTGCTAAGGACACTTAATAACACAATTTCATCCTGGAAGCTGTTCCACAGGTTAGATAGTGAAATAAAGAGTGGCTGCAAAAGACACATATAATCTTCATAACCAATGAGTTTATAAATAATGTAGTCTTGTTCTCTACTGTACATTGCACAGAATAGGATTAGAGTTATACTAAATTATAGAATAGTCCAGCATAAACTGTTTCATGAGACCAGTTATTAGTTCTGTTTTCAACATAGTATTTCACAGAATCAGCCAGAGTGGCCATTTTTTGTAAGTAAAATGAATTAAACTAACCAATAAACTCTATTTACCTATGTTATTGTGCCAGTGAAACTAAACATATGTTTTGCGATTACTGACACTACACAAGTTAACAAGCAATTAATAACAGGCACTTGCCTAGAACCCATATCTCCAGCATTGGTCAGAGAGATTCTCAAGCATGCTTCAAAATAACAGTACAGCTGATACTAGTAATAGGTAGTAGTAATCAATTCTCAAATTGGAAGAAGTTGTTCCTGCCAACTGTTAAAACAATGGGCAGATTTCAGAATATTTCATCATATCTGACCAAAGACAAGTCTATGCATGGCTTGGTCCAGGGTAGATTCAGTGCAAACTATATGTATTTTGCTCACAGTCTGTGTATTATGTCCAGTGGTCTCCATAGCAAAGGTAAATCCACTTACGTCAGATCTCACAGTTCTGCAAGACTTGACCAATCCAGGAACTGTGTGAAATGTTTTTACTCACCATTTTTCTTAAAGTCCATTGGGGTGCACAGCTTGATGAAATTAAAACTAAAGTTCAAGATACTTACTTTAGCTTCAGCGGTCCATTGCCCATGAGGGCCCTTGTAGGCATCTTCTCCTGGGCTTCTTCTGAGTCTCGGTTGTCAGCCTTCTTGTTTGGGCAGTGCAAGAGAACGTAGCTCCCACGCATGTGGTGTGCAGGAGTTCAACCATCTTGGCACACAGGCTGGAATGTATACTGAGCTGCTCAGTGTACATTCTAAAGAAGACTGTAAGCAGGTAGGTAGTTTTATTTTATTACAGAAGAGATATTGCACATATATTCTTCTATAAACAGCTTGCCTGCTCACAATTAAAAAAAAAACAGCTTTAGTTCCGCTTTAAAATGGAATTAAACACAATAACAAAAAATGCAATATATTGCAACTAATCAATTCTTAGATATGGTGATTGTATTAGCTACCTTTTTATGCTTTTTTTTTATTTTATCTGTTGATCTGGCCATTAACAGCTAAGTTAACCTTTTCCAGAAAATACATGTGGAGTGTGCACCCCAATGGACTCTTAGAAAAGTTTCTGTATTGTCCATTGAGCAGCTTGATGAAATTAAGCAATGTACGGACATCCAAAAGCTGTCCAAACCAAGGGGCAGGCACACAAACTCAGACAAACCAGCCTGCCAAGGAAAAAAGGAAACCAAGAGCATTAAACAGCTATTTGCCTACATTTTCAACTAAGACTAGCACCAGCCAAGATTCAATCCATCTACAGTATGTATCAATTGAACGACTTGGGTACAAACAGCATGTCAGATTTTTAGCATGCAATAATTGACAGTGGCTATGGCCACTAGCAGTAATCACTGTATTCTCATGGCAGGTACAGCTCCCCACGCCCCCTCCCAGGAGAACACAATAGTTCTGTGGGAGGGATTTAGTCAGTGTTGATGGGGAAATCAAGCAATTTTCTTTCTTGCAACCCATGGTTCTAGGAATGAAAATCACATAATCCATGGCCTGCTTTAGTAAGCAAAACTGAACAAGTGTGAGGAAGGAGTGGTTATAGCTGTACAAGGGCAGGCCTTCAGTTTTTATGTGTCTAGTGTCCATTTCTCCTTTAATCAGTGGGATAACCTTAAATTGCTTAGTTTCATCTTGATTTGTACTTCAATGGAAGATATAGAAAATCAGGCTATGCTGGGGTTAAAAGCAACCATAAAAAGTTCTCATCACTGTTCCCAGAGATTTTAAGTAAGTTGGAAAATATCTGATTGGCAAAGGACAGTAACCCTTTAAAAAAGACAACTTTGTCCAAGTTCTCCAGTTTCTTCTCACAATCCAAAATCATGCCTGTAGGTGTATCAAATTCCTCTAAAAAAAAAATTGGCACTGCAAATGTTTCAGTGAAATGAGATGGTCCTTTGTGGGACTGGGATGGATGTGTATCAAGCTATGTACTCTCTAAAGTGTTGTGTAATGTTTGTGCCTTATAAATACTGGGGTGTAGTAACTGTGAAAATGAAAAGTAGAGCTCTTCTAATAATTATTAAATCAGATATCTATCTAACTATGGTAAATATACCATTTAAATCACTGCAGAATATATATCCAGTGTATTTACAGCTCTTTACAATAAACCTATTGTTTGATTTTTGGTCTCTTCTTGAGTAAAATTATGTCTGTGATGTTGCAATGAGCTGTTTGTAAAGCAGGCCACAGATGGGTTAGATTTTTTTGTTCACCCAGCAGGATTCCACCATCCACACATTCAAAGTGGGTTGGAGAATCACTCCTGCTGAGCTTTTGTGATCAGTGCTGCTAACTACAGCCGGCAGTGCTGATCGACCAGCATTTATCTAACAGGATGTTTGTACAGAAGTCGATTGGTAGATTGACTTCTGTACAACCAGCGTGCCCATACATGGATCAAATTTTGGCCAGTCCCTGCTGAACAGGCCAAATGTTGATGCATCTATGGCTGGCTTAAGAAAGAATGAAGAAAAATTCCACAGTGTAATATTTTAAAATTCTCTGAACTGCATTATAGCGTGCTCATCAACCATCAATTGTTTTTCAGGTTGTAGTTTGTTTGGTATGAAGTTACTTAAAGAAGAACTACACTACACCTGAACACCACAAACCAAAAATGCAATTGAATTCACTTTTGTTATTCAAAGCAAACTCACCCATCCATACATGTCTCCATACTTTATTTTACTGAGAAATCACTTTTAAAAATACCCCATAGCATTTCTGGCTGTGTCCATCTTGAGTAAGGGCAGATGATTCAGGTAGCATTAACGTCCTTGAATCCATATGCTCTTACCTCAGGCATGCAACTGCTTTTTATTGCTACTTTGTTTCTGGCTGCTAAATAATAATAGGCTAGGCCTGGAAGAAACTTACAGTCCATTTTCAAGTAGTCAAAGTATGAATATGATACTGGTCACAAGGCTTATTTATGCCTTTTCATCTCTTTCTGAACTCTTCTAGCCTGAGTAAATTATAGTTTTTGGCTTGGCCTTTGATCCTGTGTTCATGGGAGATTCTTCTGTGTTCTTCCTTTGCTACCTATCCCCTTGTTTTATCCTTGTTTCCCAACCTACATCTTTTCCCTGGTCATTTACTTTATCTATTTCCTCCTTCCCTGGCCTGCACCTCTTCTCCTCACTACCATTCCCCACTCTCTTCTCTGATCACCCCCTCTCCTGCCCTCCCCCTTCACACCTTTTCTGGACCTACCTTTTCAACCAGTGGTTTAAGTCACCTATCCATGACTAATGGACCCTAAAGGGCCCACTAGCATTGTTTTTACATAGGTCCTGAATGTTAACCAACGCAAATGTTTTCTCATCTTTACCAATATTGATTGTTGTTATTCCTATCAGATGTTTTAGCCTCTGCATGTGTGTCATTGCTGTTAGCTCAAATTAATAACATGCAACATAATGTGACATTGACAGCTGTCATTACTTACATAGACCTGCGCTGTGGGAACTGCAGACTTTAACCGGACTGTATCCCTCAATTGTTCCTTTTGTGCCCAGTACTGCTTATCAATTAGATCAACTTGTTGGGCACATGTGATGATATCTGACTAAAGAAATAAAAGAAACATACATTACTTTCTAGCATAATAAGTGGCCACACACTAGTGCAATATTATGCTACATTTTATAGAATCACAATGAACACAGTGGGGTTGTGTCAAAGGTCTGTGCAAAGTGCATTGATTCACCAGAATCTATATTACTGTAAACACAATAAACCTAAAGCTGACGTTTAGGTATGTACTATTTTTGCATAGTTACATTGGTCTGGCTTGGACCATTGTAAATATGTATGTGCCGTACCTGGCCAGTCCTTGTGGACACTGGAAGTCATTGTAGTAGGTATTAGTGTGATCTCTGCTGTTTTCCGGGACCCGTGCCAAGCTGCCTCTCTATTGCTTTGTGAACACAGGAGCTTGCTTACCGTATATACTCGAGTATAAGCCGACCCGAATATAAGCCGAGGTACCTAATTTTACCACAAAAAAACTGGGAAAAACTATTGACTCGAGTATAAGCCGATGGTGTCAGTGGGGGGAGGAATAGTGCCCCATCATTGGTTTCAGTGGGGGGAGGAATAGTGCCCCACGTTGGTGTCAGTGGGGGGAGGAATAGTGCCCCATCGTTGGTGTCAGTGGGGGGAGGAATAGTGCCCCATCGTTGGTGTCAGTGGGGGGAGGAATAGTGCCCCATCGTTGGTGTCAGTGGGGGGAGGAATAGTGCCCCATCGTTGGTGTCAGTGGGGGGAGGAATAGTGCCCCATCGTTGGTGTCAGTGGGGGGAGGATAGTGCCCCATCGTTGGTGTCAGTGGGGGGAGGGATAGTGCCCCATCGTTGGTGTCAGTGGGGGGAGGAATAGTGCCCCATCGTTGGTGTCAGTGGGGGGAGGAATAGTGCTCCATCGTTGGTGTCAGTGGGGGGAGAAATAGTGCCCCATCGTTGGTGTCAGTGGGGGGAGGAATAGTGCCCCATCGTTGGTGTCAGTGGGGGGAGGAATAGTGCCCCATCGTTGGTGTCAGTGGGGGGAGGAATAGTGCCCCATCGTTGGTGTCAGTGGGGGGAGGAATAGTGCCCCATCGTTGGTGTCAGTCAGTGGGGGGAGGAATAGTGCCCCATCGTTGGTGTCAGTGGGGGGAGGAATAGTGCCCCATCGTTGGTATTAGTGACACCAATGATTGGGCACTATTCCTCCCACTGACACCAATGATACTTACCTTGCTGACCCCTGCTCCAGCCTGGGCTCACTCGCTCCCTCCCTCTCCCATGGTACACACTTACCGGTCAGATGTCTTCCTTCTCCGGCCGCTCTCCTCCTCTTCACTCGCTCGATCTTCGCGGTGCCGCTCGGCTCCTCCTCTCCAAGCTCCACCTCCTCGCCGGTGATTGGGCGCCTGTGTGCCTCTCCTGAGCTACAGTTCCAGCGGCCAATCACCGGCAAGGATTGATCCCGGGGGTGTGTCCAGATGACAGGGACGGCATGTCATCCCGCCCACACCTGGAGACGTTGACTCGAGTATAAGCCGAGGGGGCCGTTTTTCAGCACAAAAAATGTGCTGAAAAACTCGGCTTATACTCGAGTATATACGGTACTTGGCACGGGCACCATTCAGAGAAGACTTTGCATTTTCTCAATCAGTGCAAAGGGTTCTCTGATTGGACAAGGTAGAGATTTTGACATCACTACCTCTCCACCTTATCCAATCAGAAAATGCTTTCAATTAATTGAGAACATGCAAAGTGCTTTCTGCATGATGCCCATGCAAGGGATTAAGAAGACAACAGTAGTGGTGTCTACTATAGTGATTTCCAGCTTCCACAGGGGATCCCACAGGTATGGAACATGCATACTTACATTTCTCCAAGCTGGACCAATGTAACTCTACAAAATAGTCTATACCTAAACTTCAGCTTTAAATCAAACTTATTTCTATGGGTTACTGTACTTTACACACTAATAAGAATATGTTTTTTCAAAATAAATTAGTTTTAGGGAGAACACTTGAGAAATGAAACAGTATAGCTGGGGTACAAATATATCAGCAAAAATATTGCTTGACAGCCAAAAACAGGTTTAATCCTATCCACATTCCTTCAAGGCAGGATAACAGAATCACACTATTGCTTTGTGAAATGCACTATGAATGGTCTCCAACGCACCAAGGCAATGCACCTGCTTAGCAACCCTCACCAACACACTACCATGCATTTTGTTTCCAAAAAAAGGTCAGGTGCAATTTGCCCATACTAGGATGCACTGATAGCTCAGTCCAAAATAATGGGCTGCCTTAATGCAATATGCATTAACGTGTGTACTTCACATTGTGGATGTGTGAACCTTGACTTAAAGTGGTATTAAACCCAAAAGCAAATATTTTTTATATTGCAGTTAACCAATTTTTAGCTGTATAGGCTGCATTTGTTTTCTTTTTTAAGCTTTCATTTTAATTTTCACCTGGTGATCAAACCAGTAAGTCTGTTATTTTTTAACAGAACAAGCTGTCCCGCAGATGGAGCAGTTAGAAGGTTGAGAGACCATTTAACACTTACAGAAGTGCTTACAATGATCAGCTTTTATTTATTTAAATTAAACCTTTATCCCCAAAAGGAAAAAAACTTTTGTTGTAACTGCTTGTAATGGTGTTTACTGGAATTAGGCCTCCATTTGTTAGTGTATTTAGATCTGCTAGTGCATCTAATACTTCACTCCCCCTATACTGTTAATGCTGCTGTCCAAAGGTGTCTCTGATGCTCCTTCATCCAGAGTGTAGGCACCCTAATACAGGAGGTATGGCAAAATCACCAGGTGGAAACAGGGAAGAAAGTCTACAAGAGAAATCTAATGCAGCCACCATATCTAATGATTGTCAAAGTAGTTGTAAAGGCTGAAGATTTTTTACCTTCATGCATTCTATGCATGAAGGTTAAAATATCTTGTGCGTGCAGCAGCCCCCTCAATACTTACCAGAGCCTCATCGCGATCCAGCAAAGTGAATGACAGCCTCGGCTGCCTCCTCATTGGCTGAGACAGCAAGCGGGAGCCATTGGCTCCCACTGCTGTCAATCACAGGCAGTCAGCCAATGAGGAGGGGGGGGGCAAGACGTGGCTCCATGTGTGAATGGACACACCAAGAAGTGGGTGCCCCCATAGCAAGCTGTTTCCTGTGGGGGCACCCGACAGAAAGGAGGAGCCAGGAGAGCCTGTGGGGGACCTGAAAAGAGGAGGATCCGGGCTGCTCTGAGCAAAACCAGTGCACACAGTAGGTAAGTATAGACATGTTTTTATTTTACAAGAAAAAAAAATGAACCTTTAGAATCACTTTAAGCTGCAATATATAAAATTTTTGGTTTTGAGATTAACACCACATTAACAACAAGTCATGCAGTTTGATATAGCTTTTAAATTCATGCTGCAATATAGCCAGAAGTAGGGCTGACTTGAACTTAAAATAGAGTTTTCTGTAATTTTCCTCTCTACTGAAAGACTCTGTACATGCAATGATACACCGCAATATAATAATGTTTTTATCATTAAAAAGCAGTCCTTGAGCTCTGGTCAAATGAGTTTGCCTAGGCTGGGAAAATGTCATTCGTCTGCTTCAGAAATAAAAAACGTTTAGTCTTGGTTCACACTATTGTGATACGGGAAACCGCATGTGATTCAGACAATTCAAATGTGAATTCTGAAGGAATTTGGTATAGCTGGAGATAAAATTTGCACCAAACTCGCACAAGACTCTTTTTTTTCACCAGATCAGAATCGCACCACATAGATGTAAATGGCTTTCATAGCAATGTTTTTTCAGATGATGTGCGAATCTAAGCCTTTCAGATCGGATGTAATCCGAATAGGTGCTCAGTCTCCATTTCCCCAGTGATCAGAGTGCATGATTGTAAATTTGTAGAAAGTCACAAAGTGGGAGGTACAGCTGGGGCTAATCTACATTAGACATTGAACACAGCCAATGATTCTATGAGAATTTACATGACTGTTTCATCTGAGCTAGATTTTTACTCTAGGAAACATGCTGATCCTGGAGGATGCTTTAAAAAAGATAGTGCTGTCCTTTTGGGAAAAAAAAACTGATCTCTGTAGGGTTGCCACCTCATCCCTTTAAAACCGAACAAATATTAAATACACAGGTTCTGAGGCTAAATTAATGCAGAAAAAGCACTAGATGAGTTTAATTATCACCTTAATCAGCCACAGAACCTTTATAATTAATATGTGTTCAGCTTTAGAGGGATGACGTGGCAACCCTAGATCTCTGTGATAGGGACATAGCGTGACAAAATGTAACTGAAGCTTGGTTCGCTTTAATCAAAAGATTTTAAACTGTATAATACAAACCCCATCCAAGACCACACACAGCACTTACCAAAATAATGTTTAAAAATGCCTCATGCTGTCTTGCATTGTAAAGTGCTTCTTTTATCTGGGTTAAATTGAGCAGATTGGTTTTTGACTGTTTTCCATACATCTTCTCCAAAATTGCTGTGTATTTGTATATCATCTCCCGAGAAGATTGGAGCTCAGAATCAATGTGCTTTGTTGTAGCTGGTATTGCCTCCTTTAGAACGACTGGCACTATCAAGGCAAAAAGTCAATTTAATGATAAATAAATATTCTAAGCTCTAAATATAAAAAAAAATTCCCAAAATAAATTCACCGTTCAAAAAAAATCACATAAATCCCCTTACATATCCTCTTGTGTAAGAAACATGTGCATGGGAAAACAACATACTTCTACATAAATCGGGGCAAATCCTTCAAAAGTGCTCTTTCCATACATTATGACGTTTCTCTTGGGAAAACAAACTCACCAGCACCAAAAGTATAATGACCAGAATGCAGGAGTCAGGACTAAGAAGCGCAAAGTGCAGGGGTCAGTGGTGTGTAGGGCAGAGTGCAGATGTCATCAGCATGCAAAGCACCATGCAGGGGTCAGTAGTGTGCGAAGCAGAGTGCAAGGTTCAATAGTATTCAGGGCAAAATACAGGGGTCAATAGTATTCAGGGCAGAGTTCAGGGAGCAGTAGTATGTACAGCAGAGTACAGGGGTCAGTAGTATGCAGGGCAGAATACAGGGTCAGCAGTATGTCGAGCAGAGTACAAGGGTTAATAGCATATATGGCAGAGTGTGATTCCCTCAAATTCCCAGGACCAGGAAGTTGTGGTGAGACAGATACCTGTGCTGGTCCCTGTCAATCCACCTCTCACATCCGACCCATCATATGTGATATAATGAATGCCAGAAGATGTGTGTGTTATCAGTTCTGTGTTTTTTTTTTTTTCAGATTAATGGCCCATACACACGATAAAAAAAAAACAAATGAAAATTTCCATACAAGGAACGATTGGCTGATTATGTGATTGTTAGTATAATGCTTTGGACTTTTCGGATGACAAAACTGAGGGTGCAAGCTAGAAAATTTTTATTGTACGTGAACATAACATCCGATTTCCATTTAATGTGTACAGTAATCATATGTAAATAATTGAATAGAAAAAAATGCACATGATCAGAAGTATAAAAGGACCCTACACTTCCTCTTCCACTACGCTAGTATGTAGCTACATTTGCCTGCGTTTGCCTTTGTCGGTCAAGAACTTTTTTACAAGTTAATACCATTCCGGCTACATCATGGAAAATTGGACAATCAGTCATCCAATGTTCTCATAGTGTATACTAGGCTTTACATAAAATGAATTTGTTGCTTTTAGGAAGTAAACAACAGCAGTTTTCTAGTGGGAGCATCTATCAAACAAATGCCATTGGAACAATGTTTGCACAACTATTTTTTTTAGTTTTGCTATCCTCTAATATAGTGGGGAAATGCCATTAGAAGATTTCCCCACTATAACTGTTCTGGGGACAGCCCAAAATGTGGGTTTTTCTTTCACTTTAGAAGAAAACTGTAAACATGATCAATAGAGGGGGTGAATCTTGTTTAAAGAAAAAAAGATATTTCACAAAATCAGTTAAAGTAGAACTAAAGGCAAAATATTTTTTTTCATTTTGTTATAGTAAAAGGTTATAACCTGTCAAGTTTTTTTTTTTTTGCCATCTGTGTCTCATTGGGGAGATTTTCCTTCACTTCCTGTCCCTTAGTCAATACAGGAAGTGAAAGTGAGGGAATACCTTGTTGTCACCAGAGTCACTGAAACTAGTGTATCCATTGAAAGATTTACGCTCTATAAGGCTAGGTTCACATCTGTGTAGATTGCGGTTGATGCATGTGTTTTGTGCTTTTTGTTACTTTACCTGGTTGTCAAGGAGCGGGCAGCTGCCGGTATCCTTAACAACCAGTGAACGACATGGTTGTTAAAAAGCGGACAGCCGCCAATGTCCTTAACAATCAGTAAAACAACATGCTCATAAAGGAGCAGACAGCCGCCACGTACTTGACAATTGAGTCATTTGAGTCATCAGCTGTCAGTGGGGTTCCCTGCTGCCAGCTGAATATAAACAAACCTACTACCGGTGATTAAAAAATTGGGAAAAAAACAGCATGCCCCCCCAATCCTTACCAGACCCTTATATGAGCATACAGCGTGGCAGGTCAGGAAAGGGGAGGAGCGAGTGAGCGCCCACCCCCCTGGACCATACCAGGCCACATGCCCTCAACATAGGGGGTGCTTTGGGGCAATGGTGCTCCTCCACCCCAAAGCATCTTGTCCCCATGTTGATGAGGACAAGGGCCTCTTCCCCACAACCCTGGGCTGAGGTTGTGGGGTTCTGCAGGGGGGTGACTTATTGGAATAACAAAGGGTCTCCCAGATCCCGGCCCCCCATGTGAATGAGTATGGAGTACCCCTACTCATTCACCAAAAAAGTGTCAAAAGTGAGTAAAAACGCAACAACAGTTTTTGACAAGTCCTTTATCAAAAAAAAGGTTAAAAAAAAAAAAAATTGCTGATGACCTAAAGAAAAAAAAAAAGAGCTCCGCTCCCGACGAAGGCTTCTGCCGTCTGATAGCTCTTAAATAAGCTAAGAGATGGAGCATGCCCCGGTCAATGGCGTCACAAGGGGGCGACATCACTGTGTGGCTCCACCCCTTGGCTTATTTAGGAGCTATCAGACAACGGGAGCTTTCGTCGGGAATGGACTCTTTTTTTTTTTCTTCGGGTCAGCAGTGGTGTTTATCGTGATTGATGTTGGATCTACTTCGGGGGACAATTTTTTTTTAAAGTTTTTTATTAAAGGACTTGTCAAAAACTGTTGTTGTGTTTTTTATTCACTTTTGACACTTTTTTGGTAAATGAGTAGGGGCACTATGTGCCCCATACTCATTCACATTAGAGGGGGCCGAATTCTGGGGGACCCCTTGTTAAGTCAACCCTTGAAGACCCAAACAAGCACAGCCCAGGGTCAAGTCACCCCCTGCTCCAAAGCACCCCCCAGGCATGTGGCCTGGTATGGTTCGGGGGGGGGAGGCTACCCCCTTTCCTGACTTGCTTGGCTGCATGCTCAGATAAGGGTCTGGTAAGGATTTTGGGGGGGAACCCATGTCAGGGTTTTTTTTTTAAATTGGCATGAATTCCCCTTAAAATCCATACCAGACCCGAAGGGCACAGATGTGAACTAGATCCACAGGAAATTACCGTATGTTAACCTCCCTGGCGGTATTCCCGAGTGTAGCTCGGGGTAGAGTTTTAGTAACAAAAGCGGTAACCCCGAGCTACACTCGGGCTTACCATGCGGTGCTGCATAGGGAGTCCCTGCAGCACTTACCTTGTCCTTCGCTCCCACGATGTGTCCCCTGCAGCGTCCCCAGCCATCTCCTCCGGCTGATGCCGGCATCCGGCTTCTGTATTCCGGTCCCCGTGGCGTCGGGACGTACGGGCGGCGGCGGCGGGAAATTTGAAAATTTTTTTCAAAACACATTTTTCACAGTAAAACATTGCTGTTTTAACCCATTTCACATACATATTGTCCCTAGTGCTTTGTCCTGTGCCCTGCCTACATTTTGTCTGTCTTTCTGCCTGGAAACTTAGAAAAATCCATGGCGTCCAAAAAGTGTCCCTTTAGGTCAAAAGCGGTTTTAGACCAGCTAGAGAACAGCGACAGTAAATCAGAACCACTTGCAGAATTGAGTGATAATGATTCGTGGGGAAATTCGTCATCAGACACTGAAAACGATTTTGCGACTTTGCTCAGCAATGTACGAACTTGGCGCTCTATTTCAAATTTCTGTGTTTTCAGTTTGATTATATTATTGAATTAAATGTATTATTATTATATTATTATTTTTTTATGATTATTTATTAAATTATAATTTATGATTTTGTGTTTCAAATTTTATCATACCCGGGATGTTTAATAGACTCTTGTTCAGACAGATTTCAGTGAGTTATTCCTAAAAATTACAGCCTACAATAAAAAAACTACATATTTCTATGCAAAATAATGGTACCGCTTTCAGCACCAAAAATCTGAAATAATCATACCGCCAGGGAGGCTAAATGAACTGTAGTGAAATCGTGAAAAGTGTGAAACCTAGAGTTAATGTTCTGGGGACAACTCAAAATTTTTGATTTTTTTTTTTTTGTACTTTCAATATTGATGAT